ACAAAGATGCCAATACCATCCAGTGGAGAAAAGACAGCATTTTCAACAAATGAAAGACTTGCATGTAGAAAATGCAAATTGATCCATTCTTATTTCCTTGTATCAAGCTCAAGTCCTAGTGGATCAAGGACCTCCACATAGAACCAGATACACTGAAACTAATAGAAGGGAATGATGTGAAGAGCCTCAAACACATCTGCAGAAGGGAAAATTTTCTGAACAAGCTGATACAAGCACTCCGGAAATTAGTATGGTGGTTCCTCAGAAAAAATGGGAAGTAGTTCTACCCGAGGATTTTACTTATGTCTCATGCTCTAAAATCAACAGTTGACAAATGGGACCTCATAAAATTGTAAAATTTCTGTAAGACAAAGGACACTGTTGATAGGACAAAATGGCAACCTACAGATTTGGAAAATATCTTTACAAACCCTTATCTGATAGAGGGTAATTATTCAAAATATACAAAGAACTTAAGAAATTAGACCCCAGAGAACATTTCTTTAGGTGCTTCTCTGTCATTTGATATTCCTCAGTTGGGAATTCTTTGTTTACCTCTGTACCCAATTTTTAATAGGACTATTTGGTTCTCTGGGGTCATCAGGAAAATGCAAATGAAAACTACTCTGAGATTCTATATCACACAAGTCAGAATGGCTAAGATCAAAAACTCTGGTAACAGCAGATGCTGCCGAGGATGTGGAGATGAAGGAATACTCCTTTTCTGGTGGGATTTCAAGCTGGTACAAGCACTCAGAAAATCAGTATGGTGGTTCCTCAGAAAAACTGGAAATAGTTCTACCTGAGGATCCAGCTATAACACTCCTGGGCATATCACTAAAAGATGCTCCAACGTATAACAAGGACATATGCTCCACTGTGTTCATGGCAACCTTATTTTAAGAGCCAAGAGCTGTTAACAAACCTGATGTCCCTCAACAGAGGAATGGATTCAGAAAATGTTATATATTTACAAAATGGAGAACTAAAGGATATTAAAAACAATAGCTTCACAAAACTTGCAGGCAAATAGATGGAATTGTAAAATAACATCCAGAGTAAGGTAACCCAGTCTCAAAAGAACAACATGTTATGTATTCACTGATAAATGTACATTAGCCAAAAATCTCAGAATACCTATGATACAGTTCACAGACCATATGAAACCCAAGAAAAAGAAAGACTAAAGACTGGGTGATACAGTTCTACTCAGAAGGCAGAAGAAAATAATCTCTGGAGGAAATGCAGAGACAGAGAGTCAAACAGAGACTGAAGGAAAGGCCATACAGTGACTGCCCCACCTATGGATTTATTATCCCATCTGCAGACACAATAGTGAGACACTATTGCTGATACCAATACTTGCTTGCTGACTGGGAGCCTGATATAGCTCTCCCTTCAGAGGCTCTTCGTGAACCTGACCAATACAAATGAGGATGCACTCAGCCAAGCATTGGACTGAGCAGGGGGACCTCAGTGGAGGAGTTAGAGGAAGGAATGAAGGAGCTGAAGGGATTTGCAACCCCATAGGAAGAAGAACAATATCAACTACCGAGAACCCCTAGTGCTCCCATGGGACTAAATCACCATCCAAAGTGTTCACATGGAGAAACTCATGGCTCCAGCTGCATATGTAGCAGAGGATGTTCCAGGGAAGCTTGCTTGCTTTACGGAACACACAGATTCTTTTTAGAGTTTTTCATTTTTGTCTTTCAGAAGATCCTAGCAACCAGTAACTTACTAGAGATACTGAAAATGAGAATTACATTTTATTGTGGACATGAAGTAACCAGGAGAATGGTCAGATAAAGGCCCCATGTCTGGGATTTCACCAAAAGTTCTAAATTCCAGGTCTGCAGGAGAACCAGGGGCATTACTGGGGGTTACTATTGCTGTGATGAAGCACCATCACAAAGGAACTTGGGGTGAAAGTGTCTCTTTGGCCGATACTTCTATGTTGAGTTCCTTAGAAAACGAAATCAGGTCAGGAACTCAAGCAGGACAGGAAAATAGAGGCAAGAGCTGATGCATTAGAATCAGCATACAAAGTGGAGATGGAGGTTCAAACCTGTACTCTTTATTGAAACCACAAAAAAGGATATAAGATTAATGTGAGCTGGACTGCAGTACTATGTCCCAGTGGTTTTGACCACTGTATTACTGAATTATTGCACACAATTTTAATATTTGGCTGATATATTTAACTTGGTGTTTTCAAGACTAGGTAGTGCCCTCTGGTACTCCTATGGGCAGATGATCTCTGAGTGTGTCCACTGCAGGAGCCTTCTTTCACATCAGATACTTTTCTATAACCTTGGCTGTCCATCCCTGGATGTGTACAGAACATGAAATAACAATGAAAGCATTCTGTATTTAGTTCGTCACTCACAGATCTGAAAGCCAGCAACACAAACTCTTGCACTGCTTATGTAGGACCTAGGTCAAGTATATATTTTTACAGACTCTAGTGACACAACACCATGCTGATGCTTCCACTTTATGCAAATAAGATACTGTGATTTGTGACCCAGAGTGGACTGAGGTCACCACTGAGAAATAGCAGTGAAGCATTGGTGATGAACGTGCATTCTAGTATTCTATTGGATGGTGAATGAGGTTAAAGGGACATATTCAAGGTAGTGGTGATGGTCTATATATTGTAGACAACCCAGCCCTCTTGCTGTACTCCTATGAAAATATGGGACTTAGTGACATTTGACTCCTCTCTTCATTTGCTTTGGTGTTGCAATCTTCCACCCTGGGTTCTATGGTTCCCAAGTCTCCTTCCTCTGCATTGCTATGCAAATGTACACATCTACTTTACAAGTTTCAGGAATTACAAGAATTTTGGTGTTTCAGAAGACATCAATTACCAAAACTTTTAGAAACCATTAAGAACAGTCTGTTCAAAACTGATATGAAATCAGAGAAACTGTCAGTCTCAAACATCAGACTGTCTGGATAACTTTTTCCAGTTACTACTATTCATTCACTTGTCTAGTTGTAGTTTTGAAGCTGTAGTAGGTAAAATGGTCAAGGCTTCTCTCTCTTTCTCTCAGAAACATCATCCTCACATACATGGGTGGACTTGGTGATAGTAGAGCAAGACAGAGAATGTAGAAGTGCTGTATACTGAGGATGGCCTTATCTGACATCAATGGGAGGTGTGGGAAGCTTGATGCCCCAGAGTAGGGAAATGCTAGAGGGGTGAGGCAGGTGTGGGTGAATGGGTGGAGGAGCACCCTCATGAAGTCAAATTTAAGAGGGGTGAGGGAGGATGGGATGGAGGTTGTTGGAGGGGTAACCAGGAAGGGGGATATCGTTTGATAGGTAAACATATAAAATGATTAATAAAAAAGAAAGAATTGCTGTGTAGATGCATTTGTGGTGGTTACTGTGGCATTTTCCAAATACAGGTCTCATGAGTGAACCTATGAGTACAGAACCCTCTCCTTCCCTTCCTCCAGAAGTCACATCACACCAATGTGTTGCAGACACAGCTATTTCATCATCACAGGCAACAAATTGCACGGCAATCTGACAAATTATACTGTTATCCAGGTAATGATATTTTTCGATTGAATTATCATCATCCCTTGATTCATTACCCACCTACTTTTCTATGGGGCACTATCCATACGTTCCCAGAATGCCATTAAGGAGAATGTTATATTTAATTTCTCAGTGGTACACTTGACTTGTTCTGATGAGTAACCCCAACTCAAAATGAGCCAAGAATTCTTTACCTCATGTTTCTGGGACAGCAATATAAAAAAGGTCCTTAGAAGCCTGGGGGAAAGAAAAAGGATTCATGTGTTAAAACAAAAATCATTTGAGCAAATTAATTCTAGGGGAACTATACAAGCTAAAGCATAAGAAATAAAGAAGAGGAAAGAAAAGAGATGTTACCTGTTGAATGCATTAGAAACTGTTTGTGTCAAACTGAAGGTTAGTGAATATTACTAGTTACAATGGCCTCATGACTCAGTGCTGAAGCTTCACACACATTTTATTACCAGCACCACAGCTGAGTCAGGTCTATTGCATAGGCCTTGTGTGAGGATGGTGAAGAGATTGCACATCATCAGGTTCATGGGTCACTGGCCCTGAATGATTTCTGTGGTACTTTAACTTGAATCCTACTTGAATAGTGCTCTAACCAGGGAGCCTTACCGAGTGTCTTCCCTGAGTCTAGGGTTTCACAGTCTTAAGAGTTCTTTTCTTCTTCAGGTGCTATTCCTGGTCTGCATACAGTATCACTTATGTCCTGTGTGATGCTCTGCATATTGTGCTCAAGTCAACAGTTACACTACATTTAAAGGTCATCTATAATGGGGCTGTTTATATCAGTCTGTGCTTCAAGTTTTAACCACTCATGCACAAGTATCTGCGTTTAGTTCTACATAACTACAAAAGCAAGTGGGCTTGGTAGCCTTGGTAAGATCCAGACACAAGATCGACTTTATTTCAATGTTATTGTGTAGTCTGAGAGAAATTATCTCATCACAACATGTATACACAGACACATACACATACAGTCATTCACACTCACTGAGAGTGAGAAAAAGAAACAGAGAAAGACACACACACACACACACACACACAGAGAGAGAGAGAGAGAGAGAGAGAGAGAGAGAGAGAGAGAGAGAGAGATAGAGAGAGAGAGAAACAAACAGAGTGACAAAGATAGACAAAATAAACAGAGCTACACAGAGACAGAAACAATGTAATAAGTAAATTAATATAAAACATTTATTACACAGGAAGTCATAAATTTGTATAAATATTTGTGTAACTCAATGGTTACTATACCCTATACTTGTAGAGAGAATTCCTTTAGAGTGGCAACTTAGACACAGAGGAAGGCAGCTCTCTCTTCCCTCCAGGTTTTTCTGAACAAGCTGTTAAGTCTCAGTAACTAGGAGCTTTGTGTTCTCTCTGCGCCCTCTGCTGGTCCTAGTTTCCCTGTAGGAGGTTTGCGTTTGAGCTCACAGTAACATTCACTCACTGTGTCTTGCACAATAATACATGGCGGTGTCCTCAGACTTCAGATTGCTCATTTGAAGGTATAGGGTGTCCTTGGCATTGTCTCTGGAGATAGTGAATCGGCCCTTCACAGTGTCTGCATAGTAGATGTTACTACTCCTACTACTGATATATGCAACCCACTCCAGCCCCTTCTCTGGAGGCTGACGAACCCAGTGCATGCCATAGTCACTGAAAGTGAATCCAGAGGCTGCACAGGAGAGTTTCGGGGAACTTCCAGGCTGCACTAAGCCTCCCCCAGACTCAACCAGCTTCACCTCACACTGGACACCTGCAAACAGAGAGTGCTAGTCATAAAACTGTCACTAACAAAACAAAATAATGAAACAAAACAATTTTTATGTTTCCCATGTGCACACAACAGACAGAATATCATCTCTACAAATTACCTTTTAAAATAAAGAGAAGAAAAACTAAGTTTAGCCTGGAGTCCATTATGTTCAGTGCTGATCACTGAATGTGAGGACCTGGGAATCCAGGGCTGGGCTCCTCGTCAGAGCTGCAGGGTCAGGTCAGAACTGCTTTTCATGGGTTCAGAGAAGCCTTATTTGCATGTCTTCCTGCTATGGTCTGCTCTGAAGTTGGACTTGAGCAGAGGGTTGGCCTCATGGCAAATTTGAAGACATCAAAGTCACAGTTGTGTGTTTCAGAGCTTGACTATGTATGGAAGTTTCATATTCACACTTTTTTGGTTAAAATTTGATCACACTCCATTTAATTTTGCTTAGCACATGTGTGTAGAACATGCTTTGTTTCTATACTGTCATGTGCATAGCATAAATGTGTAATTAAGTAGCACAACACACAATTTTGTTTCTAGATATGAGCTTAGTCTTTCCAACTGTCTGGCAGAATTCTGTACTATAACCGCTGGCCCTAGGATTTTTATTGATGGAAGACTTTTAATGACTCTTTCTATTTTCTTAGGGGTTATGGGACAGTTTACGTAGTATACCTGATCATTTCTGGTAAGCAATATCTGTCTAGGAAATTATCTATTTCATTTAGATTTTCCAGTTCTGTGGACTACAGCATTTTGAAATAAGACCTAATGATTCTTTGAATTTCCTCAGTGTCCATTATTATGTCTCCCTATTATTTCTGATTTTGTTAATTTGGATACTTTCTCTGTGCCTTTCAGTTAGTTTGGCTAAGAATTTTTCTTTCTTGTTGATTTTCTCAAAGAACAATTGCTTGGTTTCATTGTTTCTTTGTATTTTCTTTGTTTCTATTTAATTTATTTCAGCTTTGAGTTTTTTAATTTATTTTGCTGCTCTCTACTCCTCTTATGTATGTTTGTGGCTTTTCTTTTTCTTTTTCTGTAGAGCTTTAAGGTGTACTTTTAATTCATTAGGATGAGAATTCTTCAGTTTCCTTAATGAGGGCACTTTGTTTTATGCACTTTCCTCTTAGCAGGGTTTTCATTGTGTTGGGTATGTTGTGCCCTCATTTTCAATAGATTCTAGAAAGTATTTAATTTCTTTCTTTATTTTTTCTTTATACAGTGAACATTGAGTAGAGTTGTTCACTTTCCATGACTGTATTGATTTGCTATTTTTTCTGTTGTTGAAGTCCAGTTTTAACTTATGATTATCTGATAAGATGCAAGGGGTTAATTCAATCTTCTTATATCTTTTGAGGCTTGCTTTGTGGCCAAGGATATGATCAGTTTGGGAGAAGGTTCTATGAGTTGCTCAGAAGAAGGTATACTCGTTTGTGTTTGGGGAGTTGTTCTATAGATATCTGTTAGGTTCATTCAACTCATAACCTCTGTGCATTTCATTATTTCACTGTTTAATTTCTGTCTCAATGTCACATACATTGATGAGAGTGGGTGGTGAAGTTTTCTCTTATTGATTTGTAGAGTTTGATGTGTAATTTAACTTTAGTTCTGTTTCTTTTACAAATGTATTTGGGGCATAGATGTTCAGAATTGTGATATCCTCTTGGTGGATTTTTCCTGTGATGAGTATAAAGTCTCGTTCCTCATGTCTTTTGATTGATTTTGGTTGAAAGTCACTTTTCCCGTGACTCCAGCTTGTATTTTGGGAATGGTTGAGTGGCAAACATTTTTCTAGCTCTTTTTTCTGAGATAATTACTATCTATGTTACTGAAAAGTGTTTCTCATATACAGCAGAATGATGCATTCTGTTTACACATCTATTCTCTTACCTTGTGTTTTTAAATTGGGAATTGAGACCATTGATGTTGAAATCAATTAATGATGAATGATCCTTAATTGCAGCTATTTTGATATTTTTGGTTGTAGGGTGTGTATGTGTGTTTCTCTTCTATTGGTTTTAGTTGGTTGAAACTATTTATCTCTTGTGGTTTCTTGAGTATAATTAAAAATATTGGTTTGGAGTATTCCTTCTATTAGCTTCTGTATTGCTAAGTTAGAGGAACAGAATTGCTTAAATTTGGCTTTGGCACAGAAAATTTTGGTTCCTCCATCTATGGTAATTAAAAGTTTTCTGAGTGTAGTAGTCTGATCTGATATCTGTGATGTCTTAGTGTCTACAAGACATAAGCCCAGGTCCTACTAGCTTTTAGAGTCTCTATTGAGTAGTGAGGTGTAATTGTTGTATATCTGCCTATAAATGTTACTTGGCCTTTTTCCCTTGCAGCTTTTAATACACTTTCTTTGTTCTGTACAATTAGTGGTTTGATTATTATGTGGCTGGAGGGTTTTCTTTTGTGGTCCAATCTATTAGATGTTCTGTAAGGTTGTTGTACATTTATAGGGATCTCTTTCTTTAGGTTAGGTTCTTTGTTCTTTGATGTTGTTGAAGATTTTTTTTTTTTTTGGCCTTTGAGCTGGAAATGTTCTTCTTCTATTCCTATTATTCTTAGGTTTGGTCTTTATGTGTGTTCCAACATTCCTGGATGTTTTGTGTTATGAATTTTTTAGATTTTACATTTTCTTTTAATGGTATATCAATTTTCTTCTATCATATCTTCTATACCTGAGATTCTCTCTTCCATATCTTGTATTTTGTTGGTGATGCTTATGTCTATAGTTCTTCTTGTCCTTCCTATGTTTTCTGCAAGCCTCTGGGGCAGGCTAAGTTATAGACTAGAAGATGGAGCACAGAGGTGACAAGGCAGACCTCATGGCTGCTGGGCTTGCCTGGGGACTCAGTGGGAATGGGCTTAGTGGTTGGGGGTCTTACTTATTTGTTCTGAGATGTAGTCACAGCTGTGGCCCAGAAAATGGAGTGCAGAGTTGATAAGGCTGAACTCAGTTCCACTGGTTGTACTCAGAGTGGCTAGTAGGCAGGGAATTGGGGTAGGGGTTTCACCTGATGATCTCTGATGGCTGCAGTCCTCAGGTTGTGGTTAGAGGTGTGATCCAGCTAATGGAGTGCAAAGGGGACATGACCAACCTCAAAGATGCTGAGGTTGATGGGAAATGCTAATTGCTGGGCTTTGGGCTTGGGTATTTTAACAGCTAGTACCCAATATCATTCACAATAAGTTTTCTTGATATACATCAACAGAATAACATGTCTCTATTGTACACTGTAGCATACAGCACAAATAAATTCCCATATTCAAAATTTGTAAATTTCTAACAAATAGTTTCTTACATTATTAATTATAACACCATTAGCTGTATAAGTACAGTAGGAATCTATGATTTACTAACTCCCTGAGGTCTTTCTCTTCAGTCGCATTGGTTTGTATATCTATATTTTTTTTTACTTTTTATCTCATAAGTCTATGAATATCTTAAACAACTGAACAGTATCAATAATGACAATCTTATTTAATTTGTCTAAATATAATAATAGATTTGAGGAAACCAGTCACTTTAGAATTTCACTGTTATAAGTGCTCTAACTAAACCAGTAGCAGATAATTCATCAGGGATCACCTTCCTGAGACCTGGCAGGGCCCTTCTGGTAATTCTCTAGTATCCACTTGGAGAAAATTTATACAAGATTTGTCAAGTGTCCATTTTGATTTGTACAGTTGATACTGGACACTAAAGTGGTATTTCCTCATCGTGACAGAATTAGGAAAATAACATCACAGGAATACATGTCACTCTTGTCACATAATATCATAGAACACACCTTAGGAACATTTATTCTGACATTTTTCAGTTTGATTAACTGTGTAGGCCATGTGTGCCAGGATTCTGCACTTTTATCACCTGGGTATTTTTGTTGTTGTTGTTTATAACTGTTGAAAACTAATCACAGGAAATACTCAAGGGTAGTGAATTTCAAGGCATCCCTATACACTATTGGTAATTTTGTTCTATTTTTTGAGGAAAACTTGGCTTGTATTTATTTGTTCAATAGTGTACTTACATCAATACTTGTGTATGGAGAGTTCATTAACACATAGTGTTAGCATATTAATAATGTGTTGGGTAAACAGTGAAATCCTTTGAATTAGACTATCTAGAAGTTGGTTCAGATATAATTTAAGTACAACCACCATGTTTAAAAGTTTCACTCTACTCATTCCATGTCATCATCAGCCATGTAGAGTGATCCTCATGATGACTAGGAAACATGCTAGTGAATCCTTTGCATTCAGCATCATGTAGAGTTGTTTAATTTACTATTACGTGTGACTTGAATGCAGGATTTTAAATAATATAGTCAATTTGGTCCCCACAGCTTCATCAAACCCTAATAGTGTAAGTTTCTAGAGAGGCCTCGGGGTCTAATTATCAGATATGAGGGAATAGCCAACCAATAATAGTCAATAATAGCCAATACTCAACCAATAATAGCCAGATATCAGGAAGGTGTTTTATGAATTGAGACTTCCTCCCTCTGATGACTCTAGTTTGACTGAAGTTGAAATAGAACCTACCAGGACATCCAATTTACTTCCATAATTTAAAAATGTGTTATATTAGTCTATTTTCACAGTTATCATGGACAAGTTCAGGCTGACAACACATAAGAGAAGCATCATAGGGATGTGAGGGCTAGAAGCACAATTTTATGAATGTGTTTTTATAAGAGTCCAAAGTTCAGGCCTCCACAGAGAATACATCACTGAGAGACAGTGGGATTGTGGGATCAAATGGAATCACAGAACTATAATTTAAATGAAATGTCACTTTCCTTGTCTACTGAAACAGAACTGAGAGAGCTGTCACATGGTATTATAAGTATAATATGTGCTCCAAACTATTTTCAAATATTGTAGAACCATGCTTCCATTACATGGAACAGGGACCCTTTCCTATCTTTATAACACTAGTTTTTATTCTTTCTTTAGTAAATGGCTTGCCTATCATTGGTTATAGGCAATATAGAATTTTGGATTTAATTTCTATCTTTTTGGATATTAGAGATGTTGGCTTTATGGAATCTATTCTGCCTAGAAACATTCCCCAAGATGGAGGGGCCTAATCTGAGGATGGAGGGCATAAAAATGCCAGCACATGAGGACATCCCCGCTCAGTTCTGTGTTGTTGGATCCATGTGTTATCTTCTGGCCCCAAATCTCAGACAAGTGATGG